GTCAAAGTCTTTTACAGTCTTTCGGTATGCGATTGACTCCATGGGAAGGCTATCTGGGTTAAGTCCATTCGTGTAGTCCCAACTCCCGAACGGCCAGTGTTCGCATGCTTTTGTCGACTGAGAAGGGCGGTCTGTGGTTTTAGCGGTGTTCGGCAGAAAAAGTGTCCTTTTTTAGTTCCATAGAATCTGTGCCGAACACCGCTGGTCCTTCGCACGGTTAAAAATGACCGCCACCTCATGGTCGACATACGAACGACGACCACCCTGTATTCGGTTATAATTGAGAGGTGTCTGCGGTTAACCACAACGTTCTAATTGGGATCAAGAGGTTAACCAGCAGCACACTTCTCTTCTGGGTGGCCGTCCGTTCGGTAAGTTCATTCGGTAAAAACGTCAAATAAATGAACAGGGGCATACGGACAGGTAATTCCACGAAAAGAGGCAAAACAGATGAACCAGCAATCTTAGTCTATACAGATTGATCTGTCACACCAGCTTTGTCTGGGTTTCGTATAATACATATAATATGCAGTTCCCACCTTTAATAACACCCAAGTCTATTTTGTGTGTAGTGTTTTACTTGCTTCATTGTATATGATCATTTGCTGTAGTGGGTTAATTTGGAGATCGGGATCGCTAGTCTTCTCCCCTCCCACATAGTAAGTACCTCCGCCCAGCCAGACTCTAACGGCATGTTGCTATGGCAACATATCAACTTCCGGGTTGCGGTTCAATGCTAGAACGCAAGGTTAGACAGCAGCACATCTCAGCTGCTGAATTCATCTATAGGGGTTATTTTTACCTGCGTTTTTTGGGGCGATTAGCATGGGAACTACTCTGGGAGAGGGGTAAGTCACACCTGTATACAATACAATGTACTAATTTAATTTGTATTTGTTTGCTATATATTTGTTGGTTTATCTAATATATTTGTTGGTTTATCTTATGCAGAAAGAAAGTTCTGCATAAGAACTGAAATATAAAACACAGTATAGAGGGCGCAAAAAAGTATAAAATAAATAATAAATAAAAATAAAACAGTGAACTTTCTAAAACAATGCTCCAAATTCGATTGTTCACAAGAAAAATAGAAAAAAGCTGCTAATTACATAAAAAACCTTCCCAAAGTTTTTAAATATCCCATAGGACAAAGAAATAAAAATAAATACGAAATCAGCGCTTAGTGGGTAAGTCCCTATTAGTTAAAAAAGGGTCCAGCACAACCAAATAGTCATTCAATGCAGAGTTTCAATTCCAATGATTCTATAGGGGGTATTTCCAAATTTCACAGGGATTGATTTCTGTAACAATGGCACATATAGCAAATCTGTATCCTTATGTGTGTCCAGACCTTTAAAAAAAGGAAACTGACATAGCGTAAAAACGTTACAGTTTTATTCCCATATGTTAAAAAAAACCCCTAAGAGAAACTCTTACAATGTGATATTGTGAATCTTATCTCTAAGGTTCACAGTTACAGCAAATTAAAACAGAGTATCAATGGAAGGATGAGATGTTACCGCTCCGTGAATAGATAGTTCGAACTGATCCTGTGCACTTGGACCCGTCCTTCACAAGAACGCCGACTTCCAGATACTGCTGTGCTGTGGTATATTCAAAAGTCCCGCCAAAAAACACATCTACGCGTTTCGCTCATTGAACTGAGCTTTTTCAAGATGAAGTGTATGGAGGGACAATGGATATTTATAATCCTCTTCCAATTAAAAAATCTTTCAATTACAAATCCGTTAGTTTATCATTAAACCACATAATCCAATTATACAATTTCGTTTTCAAAGTAAATTCATGCTTGAAAACATATTAAAATACAATGACCAGCTTCTTTTACTTTCTAATAATCTTAATTTGTTTAACACCAATATATTGTTTAAATTTCCTATGATAGAACAATTCTTATCAATTAATCCCAATGAATCGACATAAAATTTTATAATTCATATTGAGCAATTCAAAAAAATCCATTCTTAAAAAATGAAAGATTATTTTGTACATTGAATGTATATAATTTATGACAAATTGTCTCTTTCACTAATCTAATACATAAAGCATAAGTTCGTGCAGCTATTACTGTTATACTCATATGCTAAAAAATATGATAGATACTAATATAATTAAACATATATATAAAAACCAATAGTTCTTACATAAAAGTGATTGTATAAATATCATTTATGTATACACAAATTATTATTTTTTAATTTTCGATTTTTACACCAGAAATAACCTAGAAAATCTTATGATTAAAAAATGAATATCTAATCAAAAATTCTTATTCTTTTATCTAAGATCCATTAAAATAAAAAAATAAAAAATAAAAAAAAACATAATGATAAAAAAAATGATTAATAATAATGGTAAGATAAAAATTACATGGACCTACTTCATAAAATCTGTGACATTTCCAGTTCTGCATTTAGTCCATAAGGTGCTAAAGTTTTTAGCGTATAGATCCAATACATTTCCTTATATAACAAATCTTTTATAAGATCCCCCCCCCTCCAGGGAATTTTGACATTTTGAATCCCACAATATGATAGAGATCCTGGGTCACTTTTATGATAATTTTTAAAATGTTCCGAAAGTGAATGTTTTTCGAACTTCCTATTAATGTTGTAAATGTGTTCACTTAATCTTATTTTTAACATTCTTTTAGTTTGTCCCACATATTGTAAACCGCAGGTGCAGCTCAATAAATAAATAACCTGTTTTGTATTACAGGTTATACATTCTTTGATTCTATAAACCTTTTTAGTTGCTGTAGACTTAAATTCAAAAACTGCTCCAAAGGGGGGACCTATTAGTTTACAAATCCTACATGATCCACATTTATAAAAACCTTTCTGTGAATTTAAGAAATGTTTTTCCGGGGATGGTCTAACATGACTGTGAACTAATTTGTCTTTTAGAGTTGGTGCTCCCCTGAACACGACTTTAGGTTTTTCTGGTAATATGGACATTAGTTGTGGATCTTGTTTTAGCAGATTCCAATTTTTCTGAACTGCTTTCTTAATATAACTAGCTTGAGCATTAAAGTTAAAAATGAGGGGACAGAGGAGCTTTTCGTTATTTGTATCTTCACATTTATCTTTAATTGCCAAAATCTCCTTCCTAGGTTTTGCAGTCACTTTCTCTACCGCTTTATTAAGTACGTCTGGATTATATTCCTTCTCTATGAACTGGGTCCTTACTTTGTCTAGTTGTTCCTTATATACATCTTCCTCTGTGCAATTTTTCTTAATTCTTAGAAATTGGCTATAGGGAACCCCCTGTAGCCATGAAGGGTAATGGCAACTGGATGTCAAAATAAAACTGTTAATATCTACAGGTTTAAAAAAAGTTTTGGATTTTAAAATGTCATTCTCTACATATAATACCAAATCTAAAAACTCTACCTCTTTACAACTGTGTGAGTGTGTAAAAGACAAGTTAAAATTGTTATGGTTTAAATATCCTAAAAATTCTAATAGCTCTATTTCCGTGCCCTCCCAAATGAAGAAACAATCGTCAATATATCTTCTGTACAGGACTAGGTTTGCAACCCAGCGATGTCCTTGCCAAATAAAAAGATCTTCCCAATATGTCATAAAAATATTGGCATAGCTGGGTGCAAACCTAGTCCCCATAGCCGTTCCATTAATCTGTAAGAAAATATCATCCTTGTACCAAAAGAAATTATGTCTCAGAATAAAATCTATACACTCCAACAGAAATTCAACCTGTTCCATATTTAGAGTTTGATTTTCATACAAAATGTGTCTTATTGCACGTAGCCCCAAGTCGTGTTGTATTACAGTGTATAATGAAGTCACGTCACACGTCACTAGCCAAAAACCCTTTTTCCAAGTAATTTCATTGACTAATTTTAGAAGATCTCCACTATCCTTCAAATAAGATTTTGAAAGCTTCACATATGGTTGTAAGAGCACATCTATATATTGTGATAAATTAGATGTCAAGGAGTCTATCCCTGAGATGATAGGTCTCCCCGGGGGCTGTGAGATGCTCTTATGTATTTTAGGGAGATAATAAAACACGGGTTTCTTGGCATGTGTGACTGTGACAAAATCGAGTTCTTTTTTTGTTAAGATCCCCATAAAACTCCCTTTTTCTAATAATGCATATAAGGATTTCTTAAAGTCCATGGTTGGATCTTTTCTTAGTCGTTTGTAGGTGTTTTCATCATTTAAAATTCGATTACATTCAATATCATAATCTCTCGTATTTAAAACCACTATGCCCCCCCCCTTATCCGCTGGTTTTATTGTAATGGCTGTGTTATCTTCTAATTCTCTAAGGGCCTTTTTTTCGGATATAGTCAAATTAAACTTATGTCTTGGCAATTTCTCTGGAATTTTTTCCAAGTCAGCAATAACTGCCAGGCTGAATGCGCTCATAGCTGCACTTGTTTGATTGTTGGGATAAAATGTAGACTTATTTCTTAAGTCTGTATGTTGAAAAGTATCTCTAGAGGATTCTTTACTATTTAAAATCGGATTATTCAGAAAAAAGCGTTTCAATGATAGCTTACGTATAAATCTTTGAACATCCAAAAAATTGGAAAAGGGGTCTGATATTTTCGTAGGAGCATATTTAAGACCTTTATTGAGAACCCTAACCTGATCTTTGGTCAGGGTTATGTTAGATAAGTTAAAAATTCCTGTCATTGCTACCATCTCGTTCTTTTTCTTGATTCTATTTCCTCCCCTGCATCCCCTAAAAAGGGTCTTTTCTTTCTGTTTGAATAGTTTTTGTCTATCATTTGTCGATTTAAAAAATTCCGTCTGGGTCCTAAAAAATAATTTTCAGTTTGGTGATGATTAGCAGAGTGTCCATTTCGTTCATTTTCAGAGTCATTATTTCTGTCTAGAACTTCAAACCTGTTTTTATGTCTCCAGGTTGTATGATCTATTGGTTTATATATTTTAGGGGTTTCACAAACTTTATTTTGATATTGGGGTTTTTTCTCTTTTTTCTGATACCTCACAGTAGTCCATCTGGACTCTTTGGGGGTTCTCATTATAGGGGGAGCATTCCTATTTGAGGTGTTCCCTGTGTATTGGAACCGTTTGGGAGAGTTTCCATTCACCTGGGATTTTCTATAAAATTCCCTAGATGTACTCTTTTTTGTTCTTTCTTTATTTTTATAATCTCTAACTCGATTCTCCTTGAAATCCTGCTCATCTCTCTCATATTTTTTCTTCTTTACACTTATGACCTCTTCAAAGGTTTTTTCTAGTTTTTTCTCTATTTTTTCCATTAAAGAAACACACTCTGGAAGTTCTAAATAAGGAGTAAGGGTTTCTTTAAGATTATCAATATCCCTATCAATTGCTGCTAACATTCTTTTCCGTTTGCATATAATATGACTCATCAATTCGTATGAGCAATTATTGAGAATACGATCCCAGACTGTATTAAATTCTGGGTCGTCTTTATCTGTGGATGATTGTAACATTATCCGTAATCCTCGTGGAATAATACGGCTTTCCCAATATTTCTCCAGGGAAGCAACTTCTAATTTAAGTTTAATCTCCTTAGTAATTAGTTTCTCCAATGAAAAAACCTCTTTTCTCCATTGGTTTTCCTTGATAAAGTTAAGATTATTTTCTTGACCTTGTTTCAATACAAGGTCAATTTTACATTGTTCTCTAAATGAGAATAAAGACATATTTACTGCTGCTACTCTAAATTTAGGGAAAATCACAAATTATAAAACACAGTATAGAGAGCGCAAAAAAGTATAAAATAAATAATAAATAGTAAAAATAAAACAGTGAACTTTCTAAAACAATGCTCCAAATTCGATTGTTCACAAGAAAAATAGAAAAAAAGCTGCTAATTACATAAAAAACCTTCCCAAAGTTTTTAAATATCCCATAGGACAAAGAAATAAAAATAAATACGAAATCAGCGCTTAGTGGGTAAGTCCCTATTGGTTAAAAAAGGGTCCAGCACAACCAAATAGTCATTCAATGCAGAGTTTCAATTCCAATGATTCTATAGGGGGTATTTCCAAATTTCACAGGGATTGATTTCTGTAACAATGGCACATATAGCAAATCTGTATCCTTATGTGTGTCCAGACCTTTAAAAAAAGGAAACTGACATAGCGTAAAAACGTTACAGTTTTATTCCCATATGTTAAAAAAAACCCCTAAGAGAAACTCTTACAATGTAGTATTGTGAATCTTATCTCTAAGATTCACAGTTACAGCAAATTAAAACAAAGTATCAATGGAAGGATGAGGTGTTACCGCTCCGTGAATAGATAGTTCGAACTGATCCTGTGCACTTGGACCCGTCCTTCACAAGAACGCCGACTTCCAGATACTGCTGTGCTGTGGTATATTCAAAAGTCCCGCCAAAAAACACATCTACGCGTTTCGCTCATTGAACTGAGCTTTTTCAAGATGAAGTGTATGGAGGGACAATGGATATTTATAATCCTCTTCCAATTAAAAAATCTTTCAATTATAAATCCGTTAGTTTATCATTAAATCACATAGTCCAATTGAACAATTTCGTTTTCAAAGTAAATTCTTGCTTGAAAACATATTAAAATACAATGACCAGCTTCTTTTACTTTCTAATAATCTTAATTTGTTTAACATCAATATATGGTTTAAATTTCTATGATAGAACAATTCTTATCAATTAATCCCAATGAATCAACATAAAATTTCATAATTCATATTGAGCAATTCAAAAAAATCCATTCTTAAAAAATGAAAGGTTATTTTGTACATTGAATGTATATAATTTATGACAAATTGTCTCTTTCACTAATCTAATACATAAAGCATAAGTTCGTGCAGCTATTACTGTTATACTCATATGCTAAAAAATATGATAGATACTAATATAATTAAACATATATATAAAAGCCAATGTTCTTACATAAAAATGATTGTATAAATATCATTTATGTATACACAAATTATTATTTTTTAATTTTCGATTTTTTAACCAGAAATAACCTAGAAAATCTTATGATGATATTTTATAAATAGCTGTAGGGAGTGTCAACACATTTTTTTTTTAATAAAACAAAGTTCATTCTACCCCCTACATTCAGACTCATCTAATGTATGGTGTAAAAGCTATAGTTTCTGCTTTACAGGGGAGAAGATCTCTTGAACTATAATTACTGCAGCCTGATCCAGTGGAAAAGGCCCTCAGAGACCTCAGTTAAGCTAGGGAAACTGGGTCTGATGTGTTCCAGAGTCAATGGTAGCAGTGAGGATTCTGAACGGGTGCAGGTACTCAGTTGGAGAAGAGGAGCTTCATCACATGTATATATATGTTTGAGCAGGTGCATATATTGGGGCACTCCATCATTCTGTACGTGGTCCACAGCTGAAGCCATGGTCTACTTTATATAGAACCCGTCTGTATAGCTTACTATGACCACATGTATTGCAAATTGTAAATCAAAGAACCACTGGAAGTTCTGCAATTTAGTTATTTTATAAACATGGATATTTTGGAATATTTAAAAAAAAAAAACCTTAATGTTTTATTGTTTCAGTAAAAAGAATTGGGAGATGGATACAGAAAGGAAAAAGGGTGTGGGAGGGAACGGGGAAGTACAGCAAATATTTCCTGGCATACATTTATACAATTCCCACATGACATGGGGATATCCTTAAATGCCTGTATAATACACTTCAGGGTAGCGATTCCATATGTGCGTACACTGTGTGGCATCGAGCTTGTCAACCTGAACCATTTGTGGTGACAGGGCAGAGTAACTCCGCTGGGAGAGACGTTGCTACCAGTGCGACGGTGCCCATGGGGTAGCGTTAGTCTGTTGTGTAAAGACTACTTGATAGGTCTTCTGAGAAGTGGGTCATATGTGCAATCAGGATGATGCTGAACCAGTCTTGGTTGCTGTTCAACCTGTTTGTTTGTTTGTCATTAGGTTTCTAAACACCACTTGGGGAAAGCGGGGGTGGAGGGTATCAGGATAAGATCTTACGCTAGATAACGTAGAGTGGTGAGGGCAGCGGCCTGTCGGTATACCAGCGTGGTGGTATCTGACTCGTACCTGCGTGGGCAATCAGTGGTACTTAACGTAGTCTAGTGGGTAGGTAAATTCATTACGTAAGTGCGGTAGTAGGTTTAGATTATATCATGGGATCATGATAGGGAGCCCCTACCATCCTTTCAGTGATGTTGGGATGTTAGCAGCGGAACCTGTCATCTGGCTATTAAATAAAATTAAGCAATACTGTCGATTCATCAGTAAAAGTGAAGACATTTTGTGAGCGCAGTATATATGTAGACTTATTGACATTAAATTGGTGGTGGGGGGAGGGGTGAACATAAACGTCAAACATTATACCGTATTCTTATCTTTGCTCTTGTGGCATGATGCTTTATTAGGTAGAAGGAGTATCAACAATACTCTGCGGTCGGCACCTGCAGTAGCACTTCAGATATGTCAAGGGTGAGTAGCTATGTATGTGTTTAAATTGTGTTTAGATTTGGACTATCTTGGTTATGTGAGGGCTGTGAGGTTAGCATTGGTTTGGAGTATAGATTTAGTCATGGTTTCCACGTATCATGGAAAGTGTGGATTTGGGCAAGAGAGGTCATGGACATGTGCTCATAGGTATAGTATTGATGAATTTTTTCCATCAGTTGACACTTGGTAGGACAGGTTTTTATTTCCACCCAATTGCTATCAGGTTTCTGGCCGCCAGCACTGTAAGCGCTATCATTTGTTTGTGAGCTTTGGTTAGGGCGGGAGGGCAGAGGAGGAACAGATAGACACTTGGGTTGAGCGGCACATCTATGATGTGGAGAGCCTGAAGGATGTCCTTCACATACCCCCATAAGGGCTGAAGTATGGGCAGTCCCACCATATATCTATCATTGTTTCCTCCTGTTCCCCGTTTTCTCATTGTTTCCTCCTGTTTCCACAAAAACTGTTCCCAGTTTTCTGTGGGCTTCTGTGTTGGAGTAACAGTTATTAAGTCCTTTGAGGGCGTTAATTGAATGTTGAGGGCGTTAATTGAAAGTAACCAACCTGGCCCTGTGGGGGAGTGACTGTATTCCTTGTGCCATTGTGTTTCAAAGGGGAATAGTATCTTTAGAGTTATATTCAGCAAGGAACAGTAGCAGAGTGACAGTGCTTTGGGTTTTGGGTTTAGCGGGTGTCCGCCAACATCTGTCGTAAACCTGGTCCACGATATCAGGGCTTGTTTGTGTCAACTCAGATTTTGTTGGTACTCACATGGAGATAATGCTCTTGTAAATATAGTTGTAAAGTTGTAAATATTAGAATACACAAGAGTTGGGTAAGTTATATTTATTATGAAGTTCTGGAAAGGGTAGAATCTGTTGCTGGTGGCATATATCCCTAATGGAGTGGATGCCTTGTTTGTGCCAAGAATATAGTGGCAGTCAAAGAGAGACAGGCTGTCAGTGGGGCTCATTGAATTTGTCATTGAGGGACTGATTGTACCGTAGTGAATACCAATATTGAATCGTGACATGGGTTGTAGGGAATAATTGTGTCATGTCCCATCTGTGAGGCTTAGGAGGCCATAGCACCTGTGGTACGAATTCCTCCCGGTGCCCTTTCATTCTCCATATCCACCCATTGGAATGTTCCTTTGTCTGAGTGTATTTTTATTGCGGATTCAATTAGATAAGCTTTATAGTACTTGGATATATTGGGGAAGCCCACTCCTTCCTAGCAGGTACGCTTTTGGAGAAGGGTATCACCGTGACATCCAGACAGCCAGACGTGGTCACCCCAGAAGTGCCCAACAGGGGATTTGAACTCTTTCTGCCTTAGTCCTGCTGTCTTGCCTCTGGGCCACACTTTAGTTTTTCTTTCTGCCTATGTTTATCCTCACCTTGTCTCCTCACTTGGGGGCCGGACTTTTCCTGTGGCTGCTCCTGTCTATTTAAGTCCACATGAAGCAGATAATTATTAGCTGGGTATATAAGCACTGCCTCGCCCTGGGAACTTTGCCAGTTTGTTGTTTCACGTCTCCTGTTCCTGTTGCTTATAGACTCACTTGGTTTGTGAACCTTGCTTCTGGATCCTCGTTATTGCCTGTTTGCTGCCTGCCCTGACCTTTGGAACTGTGTCTAACTACTCTTCTGGATTTGCCCTTGTCTGCATTGCGAATTGTAACACCTTACATGCACAGCCCCCATGCACAGATTCACAGTCCTGGTGGTTTCTAACCTTATTACCTTGGACTGTGTATATCTGCAAGGGTGAACATAAATCTCTGCCTACCTGACTCCCAACTAAGGTAAGCCCTGACAGAGGGTGAGAGATAGGCATGATTTACGCGTCTCCCATATGAAGGTTGTTAGGATAGATTGGAGGTGTTTGTGAAATGTGGGTTTAATGCGGATTGGCAGCATCCTGATTTTATACAGGATCTTCGGGAGGATTATCATTTTAATGGTATTAAGCCTATCAAGCCAGGACAGTTTTATATTGTTTCATTGCTGGGTTTTGCACATGTGTACTAAAGGCTTAAAGTTGAGGTCGAAGATAGTGTCTAGGGTGTGACCAATGTTGACCCTCAAATACGTGATACCTATGGTCCTCCAGTCGAAGTCATATGATTGTTGCATGGGTTGTGTGATGTTTTTGGGAAGTTTTATTGGTAGGACTTGAGTTTTACTTTGATTTAGTTTTTAATATGAGACATCAGCAAGATATCATCCGCAAACATGGAGAGACGGAACTGTTGTTTCCCTAAGTGGATGCCTGAGATGCTGTCGTCTTGCCTTATTTTGTGTGCTAGGGGTTCTAGGGAGAGGATGAAGAGTAACGGTGACAGGGGGCATCCCTGCCTAGTGCCGTTCGTGATATGGAATGGTTTGGAGGTGAATCCTGAGTTGGCTACTTTGGCATGTGGGTCGTTGTAGAGGGCCATTATTCCTGTGATGAAGGTTTGGGGAAAACCAAATTGGAGCAGTACCTGTATCATGTATTGCCAGTTGAGTCTGTCAAAGGCCTAAAGTGAGGAGGAAGCCCTGGTTGTGTGTTGTGTGCATGTGGGAGAGTAGTTTAAGGATTTTCCTGGTGTTATCTGAGCCTTGTCTCACCTTGATGAACCAAGATTGATCATTGTGGTTTAGTTTCGGTAGGATGGTAGAAAGTCTGTTGGCCAGAAGTTTGTCATACATTTTTATGTCGGTATTTAGTAGTGAAATCGGTCTGAAATTATGGCATTGGGCAGGGGCTTTACCTGGTTTTGGCAATGTGGAGATGTGTGCCATAAGCATGTCATTGGGTAGTTTCCCTTGGGAGTAGCACGAGTTGAATAGGTGTGTGATGGAGGGTGAGAGGACGTTTGCAAATGTCTGGTAGTAGAGGTTGGTGAAGCCATCTGGGCCTGGCGCTTTGTGTGTGGGCAGATCCTTGATAGCTTTTTCTATTTCTGCGCGTGTGAAAGGAGTGGTAAGTGTTTCTAAGTCCATCGTGGGTAAACTCGGCAGATCCACGGAGCTTAGAAAATCTTGTATTGCTTGTAGTGGCAGGAGGAGGAGACCTGGGGTCCTCTTTAAGGTTATAGAGTGTGCTATAATAAGACGTAAACTCATTAACTATTTCTCGTGCATTTATCAGTTTATCTTTGCTGTTAGTTAAGTGTTCTTGCATAGCAAGACCACTTACTGTTATCTCACATATATAATATACTTATTATTATAGCCAAATTTACCACCCTAACTCCTCCCACAGTTTTTACCCTACATAGTAATATACCGAAATGTGCGGATTGTTCCCGATTGGTGTGCTAATACTTTGTGGAATGTTTCGCCAAATGTTTCACGAAATATTTTTGTTTTTGTGGCGAAATTGGTCCCATAGGAATGAATGGCAAAATGTTCAAAACTAGAGTGTGAGCTGAAAAATCAGGACATGATTTCTAAACTGCCACCACTCCCCCATTTTCAAGCCTGCCTACACAAATCTTATATCAAAATGTTCAGCTATCCCTGCTGCCACTAAACATGTCCACGGCTAAGCCTGATAGTTTTCACAATATGACCATTTGTTTGCAACTCACGCCGTCCATTGACATTCATTGAAACTCTAGCCACCTCAAATTTGAAGGGCAATAAATAAACTGCGACTGTGCCTTCATTTTTAATATTTCATAGACATACTATCAGAATGTAGGTCTGGGTCTTGTGATTCTCACACTATAAAGCTCTTCGCTGTAGGATTTATAGTTTTTAAAATACGACCTTTTGAAGATGGCAACCGCCAGTAAAGTGAGCAATTTGGAGCAGTTTGTTTTTAACTGCTCTTCTCTGCCCTATTTGAAATCTATTAGTTCCTGTTGGCAGTTGGTGGAATGTTCGAGGGATTTGAAATGGCGGCTGCAGAAACCCTGTGTAACAAGGCTGTAATATGAAGATGCTGTTATATATGTATTAATAAAGTGAGTACTTCATTATACAGGAATTATTGACTGATTTGTACAAAACAATTGGTACATTTATATCCCTACATGGCAAGACCACTTACTATTATCTCACATATACATTATTATTATTCTTATTGAGCAATTTGGAGCAGTTTGTTTTTAACCACTCTTCTCTGCCCTATTTGGAATCTATTAGTTCCTGTTGGCAGTTGGTGGAATGTTCGAGGGATTTGAAAGATTTGAAAGGTCTTCTCTGCCCTTGCTGTAGAGTGAGTGAACCACACTCCAACCTTTCCACAGTTACTCGAGCCACTCCAACCATACAAGTTACTCAAGACACTCCACCCAGTTACTCCGCCCACTCCAGTTGTAGACTACTGGTGGAGGCAAGAACACTTCACACAATTTCCCCATAAATTGTAGATTTTCTAGTCTTTAAATATTCTATCTTCAATTTTTGTGTTTTAACTGTGGCGGAACCAGCCTCGCCACTGGGCATTGGAGAAGACTGTTTGCCAGCCTCCTGCCCTGCGACTATGGCCCTGAGATGTATTGCCCTTCTAGGAACTGATTTGGGCATAATAGATTTTTATTATACTGCTGCTGGCCCTTTATGAACCCTCTGGGGACATACTGTGGAGTTACTGGGTGGCCACCATTTCATGTATCAGAGGCACATGGTGAGAACAATGGATGAAGCACATGGTGAGAACAATGGATGGTGGCCATTTTAACTCACAGACACTGTTTGGACTTTTCTACACGGTGCCATCTCGCCGGTATTTGGTGCACAAAAACATTGTGCAGTAGTTTTAAACTATACAACAGGGGACACATTATACAGTAATTATTTTTCATATCTCCCCCTGAGGTGGCTGGAGGAACCCGAAGTAGGAGTCCTCATAGACTGGTCCTGTGAGGAACCACAACAGGCAGGTGTAGATGGGACCAAGGTCTCTCCACCGGGCCCACCAGGATTATTTACCAATAATTAATTAAGCACAGGGTTATTGCATATGACCTTTTATTTAAGTTAGTTGTCTAAGTTGCTGTACTTTAATGCACACAATTCCTTGTATTCTTCTTAATTTAAATATAAAAATGCTAAAGACATAACAAAAACATTGCACATTCTCAATAACACTTAAGTAATCTACAAATAAATGAAGCAGTATATTGGACCAATCCCACACACCACCAACGGTCTGTTTAACGTTTTTGAGTTGCAAAACATAAATGTCAGGAAAAGAACAGTTTCTGCAGAGCAGTGAGTTCCTGTCCTGAATTCTAAAGTGATGGGAGCTGAAGAAATATTTAACATGGACAAATATTTTATCTCCTGTCTTCCAACAGCAAAGGAGAGTACAAGGTGTTCTTGGAATTTTCACTTGTCTAGAAAAACAACAAAATGATTGATATTTTTTCTCTATAGTGTGAATTAGATGCAAACATGAATCTTATGACCAGTGTATTCAACTATAAACTTTTATACAGTTAATATTTTGCTAAAAACAACTGCCAGAAAAATAAAATCCTTACTCTTTCATTGTTTTTCCTTTGCAAGGCCAAACATGCTATCTTTGGACTTGTTTCAATCTTGCTTTAATTCATGAAACCAATGAAACCA